AAATAATGAAATGGTTTGAATTATTTTTTCTGGTTAGCGTTTTTTTTTGGCAAGTAAGTTTTTTAGTGGGATGGGGTCGTCAACCCCCATGCCAAACCCTCCTCCTTTATCCGGGTTTGGGACCGGCAGTAGCCGCGAAGGCTCTACTGGCAGATTGGAAAACCAATGGCTGCATTTCTACAGTTGAAAAATATCTGAAACTCCAAACAACTTTCAACTAAAACCAAAATCACGATTTTCAATACAAATGTGAAGACAGTTCTACTGTATGGAGCGGAAACATGGAGAACTACCAAAGCCATCATCCAGAGGATACAAGTGTTTATTAACAGTTGTCTACGCAAAATACTTTGGATCCGTTGGCCAGACACCATCAGCAACAACGTACTGAGGGAGAGAACAAACCAGATTGCAGTGGAGGAGGAAATCAGGAAGAAGCGGGGAAAGTGGATAGGACGCACACTAAAAAAATCACCTAACTGCGTCCCAAGACAAACCCTCACATGGAACCCTCAATGCAAAAGGAAAAGAGGAAGGCCAAAGAATATATCACGCCGAGAAATAGAGAAAGATATGAGAGGAATGAACAAACATTGGACAGAACTGGAAAGGGAAGCCCAGGACAGAGTTTGTTGGAGAAAACTGGTGGGCGGCCTATGCTCCATTGGGGGTAACAGGCGTATGTAAGTAAGTAAGTAAATAAGTAAGAAATAATGAAATGATACTTGGAGAAAAGGAAAGACAGAGGAAAATAAAAACGCCAATTACCTTTCATGAAGTGTTGCATAACAAGATGACTGTGATGATTTTTCAACAGGATTAATGATTTTCTTATTCATGACACAAAGTTGCAAATCATTTGATTGATGATTGCTCAATTGAGATTTAGGGGAAGTTTTTGTGGAATTTTCTACAGATAAATTATTTTGTATAATTGAAAGTGAATTTGTATTATTATTATTATTATTATTATTATTATTTGATGAATTTAAAAAATATTTATTCTTCTTTTTCTCGACATCATTAAAATGTTCACCAGATAAAAAATCTGTTTGCAAATGATCATCTGTAGACAATGGATATTCTGTTGTATTGTCTAAATCTGACAGTGTATTTTGATCACTAGTAGTACGTCGATGAGTAGTTGTTTTAACTAAACTAAAAATAGGAAAGAAAAAGGGCAGTAAAAACATGAATATTGTTTTAAGTTATTTTTGTAAAGATTTTGTTTAAATTGAAGGTGATTGACATTATGACTTGAAATTAACTTGAAGAGAATGGTTCAGAGAATATGTATAACTAGTTTATGACAATTTAAGACTTTGATAGTAGCTCACATTCATAGTATCAAATCAGATCCAACTGAACAATTTTCAAGTCATTTACAGTAAAACTATAGGGTTCGTCACTAGGTACACTTGAAGCTATTACGAGTTCACCTTAGTTGATAAACGCGAACGAGACGATTACCAGCGTCCAGATAGGCTACCTTGAATCCCAAGCTGAATACAGAAGTCTTGATAAGCGTAGAAAGTATATTCTACAAACACCCAGCAATCACAATACAATCAAGCACATAACTCTCGTTTATTTATACATCATAGAAACGTCCTTGTGACAGTTACGAAAATAGCACACTAAAATACACAGCAGTCAATCACAGCCATGGATTTTCCTGGTGGGAAATGAAATCTCAAGGTCAACTGATCAGCCCATGCTCACAAACGTAAAATCCAAAATAAGGCATTTATCAAGCGAGTTTCTGGGTTTATCTAACATCCCCAACAAATACTATCGAGTTATAGAGAGTAAAAATTCGGTGAATTCACCTCTTCTTCCAAGAGATCCCTTAGTATATTCATAATTCTTTTTTCGGTTGAATCGGTCAACTCCTTGTTACTTTTGTCTACACTATGAAGCTCACATATGTTCGTTTGAATTGAATTTCATCCTAAGAACACGATCATCTGTGTTCATTTAAACAACACCTGAACCTATATCAATGATTGATAAGTCTAGCTACAATAACTTAACACTTCTTGGGTCTCGTTTGTCCCACATATGGTTTATAAAAGAACTTTCACTTGGACCTATTCTATCAGTGGTCAATTCATCTTACTACATCGTTGCATACTGGCTGGTGGATAAGTCAGAATCAGTCAGTAAGCAATTAGTTACATATATTTAATAAAAGATTCATTTGAATCTGCTAGTAAGTTGATAATTTCTTTTGATATAACGACACTGTCAGCCAAAAAATATCACTTCTCGGGACAGTAGACATAATTTGTCAACATTCTGACAAGCAACCTTTACCGACATTAGAACTCAAACGACTACGACTAATCACGTGTACAATCAAACAGTTAAAAAAGGATACTTCACTATTTAGTGTATGCATAAATAGATACTTTAAGTCGAGATTATGTTGGGGATGTTAGATCCCCAAAACTCGCATGATAAATGCCTTATTTTGGATTTCACGTTTGCCAGCATGGGCTGATCAGTTGACATTGAGATTTCATTTCCCACCAGGAAAATCCATGGCTGTGTATTTTAGTGTGCTATTTTTGTGACTGTCCCAACGACGTTTCTATGATGTATAAATAAACGAGAGTTGTGTGCTTGATTGTATTGTGTTGTGATTGCTGGATGTTTGTAGAATATACTTTCTACGCTTACAAAGTCTTCTATCTTCAGCTTGAGATTCAAGGTAGCCTATCTGGACGCTGGTAATTGTCTCGTTCGCGTTTATCGACTAAGGTGAACTGGTAATAGTTTCAAGCGTACCTAGTGACGAACCCTACAGACTAATTCAAATTATAGAAGATAACACATTGATTAAAACAAGACTATATATATAATACTAACTAACCTGAATAGTTTACTGATTACAGTCTTTGGATGTAATGTTTTTCTAAGACGAACAGATTCATTATCAATACACTTTGCTATATAATCGAAAACAAAAAATGGAGAAAAAAATTTTCAAGAAAACACAACTTCAATAAATTAAGAATGACAAAACTTGTACAATCATTTGAAAAAAAAAAATAATAAATAATCGCTCATCATATCATTTTTATTTATAGGTGAATAAAAACAGCTTATATGTTGAAGAATAACGGGACAAATATCCATACACTTTAGTGAGTACAATCAAAGAATTGAATTTGTTGACAGTTCAATTGGATGCCAGTAGAGATGAAGCTAGCTGATTGATGGATCAACAATAAATAATAAAACACGTTACAAAACGACTTCGGAATATTTGAACTAATACATGAACTAATACATATAAAAAGTCGATTATTCAACTAACCTTAGTTACTCTTCACCTATTCTTATCTAAGTCAGTCAAGTCATCATCATCATCTACAGCAACGGCAACGTAGAAATTTGCACGTAAGTACATCAGTTCAAGTTGCCATACCACGTTAACACAGAGATATAAATGTCAATTCAAATCCAATAGTGGTAGAGGTAGTAAAGGTATTAGAAGTAATCGGAGAGGTTAGGGTTCGAAGATGTTATTCAAGAAATATAATTCAGTGAGGTGAATTTAGGAAGAGAAAGATCGAGATTATGAGGAATTCAGAAGGTTACAATTTCATAGAACACAAAGAATAAATGCAACTACTCCATTGCAGACGGTTTTGAGCCATGTCATTCAAGGTCTCTAACCATGGATTATTATCATCTCGCGGAACCTAACCAGGTAGTCGAAATCTACCGATATGACTCAATCATGTTGTCAGTGACTTCATGGATTGCTGCCATGTTTTGGTTTGGCCGCCCCTAACTTTCTTCCAACCTACTCCTACACTACAAAACAAAGCTCGACGAGGCAGTCGGTGGTAAGGCATTCGTAATACACGTCCCAACCACCTTAACTGATGCAGTTTCACTACTTAATCTATTGCTCTGCCCTCTTTACCTCGCACACACTTCCTAATAACAGCGTTCCGCACTTGGGCGGTCCCCGCTATACGACCAATGCTTCGAAGACACCTATGATCGAAATCCATTAACCTACGAATATCTTCTACTCTCACTGACCATGATTCACAACCATGAAGTAAGACGGAGCGAACCACTGCACAGTACACTCTTCCTTTATTCAGCAAACGGATATCTCGCCTTCGCCATAAGTGACGCAGGTTGGCAAAAGCCAATCGAGCCTTCTGTATCCGAGCTGAGATTTCGTCAGTCACCAGGCCATCAGCACTGATGAGACTCCCAAGATAAGTGAAGCGGTCAACACGCTCGACTACTTCACTCCCTATCACTAGTTTGGGTACCGACGAAACCCAATCTTGAAGTAAGATCTTGAATTTCGAGGGTGAGAACATCATCCCGAACATGCTTGCATTGTTGCTTGGTGTAGTCAGAAGACTCTGCATTTTATCAGCGTCTTCACAAAGTTGTAGCACAATGTCATCGGCATATTCTAAGTTAACTAGCGAGCCTTCTGGTAAAAGGTCTACTCCTGAAAATTCAGAAGAGGATAAGGTTATGTCTAGGAGCATGTCTATGATAAAATTAAACAAGAATGGAGAAAGTGGACATCCCTGACGGACACCACTTGAAGTAAAGAATTCCGATGACAGTTCGCCATAAGCTCTCACTCGACCAATGGTGTTCGAGTAGAGAGCTTGTATGAGGTTAATGTACTTCTTTGGTACACCTTTCAATGATAGACACTGCCACAGAACCTCACGATCTTCAGAGTCAAATGCCGCTTTTAGGTCCAGGAAAACAACTATTGTAGGACGCCTAAATGTGTGTCTGTGTTCCAGGACCTGTAGTAGTGTGAAGACGTGGTCTATACAGCCACGTTCAGGTCGAAAACCAGCCTGGTTTTCTCTAGTCTGCTCTGATCTGCTCAGTCATGTCATACTAAAATATCCAAAAATTGAAAATTCGGTAAGCCTAAAAACTCTATACAGCTACATACACAATTTCTTCTATTTTTCCATCGTATAATCAAGTTAATCAAGAGCTAAGCAAAGAGCATAATAGATGAATTTAAAGTTAACTACGATAGTATTCATTCATCACCAACTAATATCATATGAAGAATGTATGAAAATGGAGAAGTAATAGAGAGTAACTTTGTTCTAGTTTGATGATTTTACACAAAACTATATACTATTAGGTGTATATAGATATATATATGATAAATCTCGGCACCTGAACTAGTGATAGAGAGTGAAGTAGTCGAACGTGTAGACCGCTTCACTTATCTTGGGAGTCTCATCAGTGCTGATGGCCTGGTGACTGACGAAATTTCAGCTCGGATACAGAAGGCTCGATTGGCTTTTTTCAACCTGCGTCACTTATGGCGCAAGCGAGATATCCGTTTGCTTAATAAAGGACGAGTGTACTGTGCAGTGGTTCGCTCCGTCTTACTTCATGGTTGTGAATCATGGCCAGTGAGTGTGGAAGATATTCGTGGGTTACTGGTTTTGGATCAAAGGTGTCTACGAAGCATTACTCGTATAACCTGAGACACCCGAGTGAGCGACGCTGTTATTAGGAAATGGGTGCTAGGTAAGGATGGCAGATCAATCGATGAAGTAGTGAAACTGCATCAGTTGAGTTGGTTGGGACGTGTATTACAAATGCCTTACCACCGACTGCCTCGTCGAGCTTTGTTTTGTAGTGTAGGAATAGGTTGGAAGAAAGTTAGGGGCGGCCAAACCAAAACATGGCAGAAATCCATGAAGTCACTGACAAGTGGACTGAGTCATGTCGGTAGTATTCGACTACCTGGTTGGGGTCCGCGAGATGTTAGTAATCGATGGTTGGAGACCCCGAATGACATGGTTCAAAATCGTTTGCAATGGCGCCGGTGCATTTATTCTCTGTGTTCTCTCAAATCCTAATCTTCTGGATTCTTCAACCTTTCTAGTTTTGACTTTCCAAACTTATCTCACTGAATTATACTTCTTGAATAATATCTTCTAATCCTAACCTCTCTGATTACTCCTAATTCCCTTACTACCTCTTCTACTATGGGATTAGAATTAACAATTACATCTCTGTGCTGATGTGGTATGGCAACATGAACTGATGTACTTGCGTACGAAGATCTACGTTGCATCTGACTGACTGATTGATATATGATAAATCATAAATTGTTTGAAATTATTAAATTCTTTACACACAATCAGGCGAAAGATGATAAAAACAATAAAAGAACATTGAATTCATTGACCTTGATGAAACAACTACCTGGTTGTTATTATTACAAGAAAAAGTTCAATGCAACAAAACACCAATACACAGCATGAAACTTTATAGTGGAATAGGATTTCTTCAACAACCTCAACAAAAGCAACAACAACAACAACACAATATATGATTTAAGATATATATATATTTTGAAAAAAAAAATGTTTATAGAACTTATTTAGGCCAACAACACACAAGGTGAACATAGTGCATTTTATTTCTTCTAGGTAAGAAAACAAAAAAGTAATATGTAAAGAATAAAGTAAGGAAAAATTTTCATCATACAATTAATATGAAATATTATTTGTGAATATATATATATCTGGTGGTAAGGAATTTTAAACAAGAACGGAGCTAACACTTCAAAATACATTTCATAAAAATGCCGTGTGTGACCGGCCTAAAGCAGTTGTCTCTTGGGCTCTGCGGTCACACTCCCAGATCTCTAAGACCAACACTAATTCACCTTCCTTTTCAGGCTTCTCAACACTCTCCCACGTTGTGGGCAGACGGGAAGTGACATCCGCCCTCAGACCAGTAACAGCACACGAGACCAAATTGGTCACAAACAAATCCCTACTGTAATTGGATCGGTCAACAACGATTTGGTTCCCATTCTAAAATTAATGATTATGTGATGTAAAAAAAATAACTCTCAGAGGCATTACTTATATTCAGGTAGCTGATTAATTTTATTATAGATTTATATAAATTATTTTCGTTTCATACTGTCACCATTACATCCTCCTGACAAGAATGGTTTCAATGCGTAGATTTGTGCTACTCATAAGTAACAATCATTGAAATATCTTAAATTGACTATAGATATTATATATATATAATAATCACTACTAACAAATAGTGATAAACACGAATAGATTGTCAGATAATCGTAACAAAGTAAACTGAAAATAAACTGGTACTAGGAATCCATCTGTTAGCGAAACTGTCTCGGAAAAGGAAGGTCGTATCATTCAATCACAACACAGGAGATTGGACAGATGGACAGAACACTTTAAGAATCAGTTCAACTGGCAATCGGCCACACTTCGGTTACACACCATCTCCAATCAACCTGACTGGTAAATTGATGAAGTTCTTCGAATCTTTGTAAAATTGAAAAAGTTATAGGAAATCTGAAGAGAAGAGGGTGAGCAGCGCGGTTTTACCCTCGTGATTTTTAAGGATGGTGGTTCAGTTTAAGCAGTCAGATTGACTGATATCTTACCTCCGTTCTTG